GTCATTTGTTGATTTGTTGATGATAGCCATTCTGACAGGTGTGAGATGGTACCTCATTGTCGTTTTGATTTGCATCTCTTATATAATTAATGACTTTGACCATGTTTTCATATGTCTTTTGGCCTTCTGTATGTCCTCTTTCAAAAAGTGTCAATTTAGGTCCATTGCCCATTTTTTGTTTGATTGGATTGTTTATCTTCCTTTTCTTAAGTTGTATGAATTACCTGTAAATGTTGAAAATTAAACCCTTATCAGTGATATCATTGGCAACTATGTTCTCCCATGCAATGGGCTTTCTTGTTGTTTTGTTGATGGTTTCCTTTGCTGTGCAAAAGCTTTTTATTTTGATGTAGTCCCATTTGTTTATTTTCTCTTTAGTTTCCAATGCCCTAGGAGCAGTATCAGAGAAGAAATTCCTTAGGTATATGTTTGCGATTTTGCTGCCTGTGGATTCCTCTAGTATTTTGTAAACATTCTTAAAGATCAATCTTTTTGGACATCTTAGGGAAATTTTCTAGAATTGAATCAGTAGGTCAAATGACCTATGTTTAAGGTTCCTAATACATACTGATAAATTAGCCTCTAAAAAGTTACCGGTATCTATTTCAAATCCTAGATCCTCTTCAGTTTCTCATGTTAAAATGCATGCTCCTAGGCTCCAGTGGTCCCAGACGCTCCGAGGAGAGGGCCTAGGAACACGCATTTTAATATAGCTTCCCAATCCTTAAACACATTTGAGCTTGAGAACTATTGATATGTTGTGTGCAAGTCAACATTCATTTCAGCAATTACTTATTAGAGAAAAAGTTAAAGAACCCTGAGCTAGTATTTCTAAACCAGAATTTAACTTTAAGATTCTTTTTTGGCTTCTGAATTTCAGATTTTCCCTTATTCATGGTATAGTATAGTTAAAAGAATCTCAGCTAGGAAGAAGAAAACCTTATTATAAACTAGACGTCTGGTGCACAAAATTCATGCACGAGTAGGGTCCCTAGGCCTGGCTGGTGATCAGGGCCGGCCAGGGCCTTCCTTCATTCCATGCCGCCTCCTAGTGGTCAGCACACGTCATAGCGAGTGATCGAATTCCCAGTCGGTCGAACTCTTAAAGGGACGATTTGCATATTAGCCTTTTATTATATAGGACTAGGGGCCCGGTGCATGAAATTCGTGCACTGGGTGTGTGGGGTGGGGGGGAGTGTCCCTCAGCCCAGCCTGCCCCCTCTCACATACTGGGAGCCCTCAGGCATTGACCCCCATCCCCCTCCAATCGCAGGATCGGCCCCTTGCCCAGGCCTGACGCCTCCGCCAGAGGTGTCAGGCTTGGGCAGGGGACCCCCATCTCCCCCCAATCACTGGCTTCTGGGTGACTTCTGGGGCTTCTGGAGCTGGCCTGCGGCCCGGGATGGCGGCTCACGCTGGCGGCTGTGCTGTCCTGCCCTGCCCGTAGTATGCAAATTAACCACCATCTTTGTTGGCAGTTAATTTGCATATCATGCTGATTAGCCAATGGGAGGCGTAGCGAAGGTAGGATCAATTACCATGTTTGTCT